GGGGTGAAGGGAACAAGGGCATCCTCAATATTTTTGCAACTCCCTGTGGGGCACGTGAACCATGTGACTAAGGGAACCAGCCTGGAGCAAGAGCGAGGTCTAGACGTGCCGCAACCCCACACCTCATCTTGAGACAAGAAGAAACTAAGGATCACTCCCGCCCTGTTCTGGGCCTACATGTCCCCATCCACATAGTCTTGCAACCCCCACCTCCACCACCCTTGAGGTAGATTTCAGGTTTTCTCACAAAGACATGTCCATCTAGCACCTAGAATTCCTCTCCATGCAAATAAAGCATTCCCAGCACCTCAGCGCCAGCCAATGAAGTACACTCACCCCGAAACTCCTACCACCTTCCCAAGGTTTATATGGCCTCTATTCCCCTGAATAAAGAAGAGCTGTATCACCGAAAGGACCCTCTTGAAGAAGGCTTTCTCCCCAGATCCCCACAACCCCCACCGCCCCCATTCCCCCACTCCGGCATTCACCTGCTAAGCTTCATTGCTTCTAGCACTGGTCTGCCATGGTATCTGGACACCCAAGGCCAGAAGCAAACCTGGAAAGACGGCTGCCACCCAATGTGGATTTAACAGGACCGCTGGTTTGAGCAGGGAAGAGTGGGTGCCCTCCACCCCCGCCCGGGCCTTTGGCATCAGCCCAAAGGTACTAAACCTCCGCACTCTGGGAGCAGGTTATCTTTCCTCCTTTGTTTTTGGTTTAGCCTTTGCAGGGGTTCAGACACTAGCAAGGACAACTGAAACCTGGCTAGAGCACTCTCTGGTGTTGGCGGAAGGCCCCTCCTTCCTCGTCTCCTGGCCTCATCCTTCCTCCCTTTTCCCCCTTCCTCCCTCCCCTTACTCCTCACGTAAGGGGAGCTCCCTCTCAATCGAAACCCAAACCAGCACATCAAGTCGCGGTCTTTCCCACTCCACCTACTTGCGCCAAAGTGGAGAGAGTGCTTCGTGCTTCTCTCCCCTCTGACCTGCGAGCTGCACTCTAAAGGGCACAGCCAAAAGAATGGAGGAAATACCATGTAACCTTTTGGCCTCCTCCCCCACTGCCCAAAGCAGAGAAAATCCCAAGTAATCCCCAGGCTAACTCTGCCACTCCCTCTACTCATCACTCCGCAGGGAGTACAGAATTCCAGGTATTTCCCTCTTGGGCTGGATCCCCCCCAAAGTCAGATTGACATTTTAAACAGTTTGGTTTGGTTTGGTTTGGTTTGGTTTGGTTTGGTTTGGTTTGGTTTGGTGTGTGTGTGTGTGTGTGTGTGTGTGTGTGTGTGTGTGTGTGTGTG